CTCTCTCTCTCTCTCTCTCTCTCTCTCTCTCTCTCTCTCTCTCTCTCTCTCTCTCTGTCTGTGTGTGTGTGTGTGTGTGTGTGTGTGTGTGTGCCCCCCTTTCTAAACCGGACACTCTCGGCTCTCAATCTCTCTCACTACTACTACTGTCCTCCTTCCTGCTGCTTAAGCCACAGTTATGGCGCGCAGCGCTGACTACTTCACCAGTGTGACCGACAAGTCTGACTCGAGGACTCGCACCACCAACCAGCAGCGCTTCTGCAACAGTGAACAAGTGTCTCCAGGTTCTGTGGCAGCCATTTGTATTTGCATCAATTGACAATCTTTGTCTACTTCAGACCGGAAACATTCCCACGGCCTACTGGCCGCGATTGTTTGTCAGTTCCGGAAGTTCCGGACTTTCCCTGGATGCTGCTGCTAAATCTGGACTGGGGCTTTGTCTGTCGACCTAGCAGAATTCTACCAATCTACGGATTCCTACCGACGTACGTGGTCCTCAAATGGCATGTCGGCCTCAGGGCTTTCCGGTTGGAACGTGGTACAAGGGACTCAGCATCTTGGGCCATCTGGGACTGGACCCGGGATGGACTGATGCGTCACACCCTTTGAATTGCTGTATCTATGCAAAACATTGCCCCAAACCTATTATGACCGGACTTTCATTTGGGTGAAGACGGTAGGGTCTGACAGTATGAAACGACTGAGCCGGACTAAAGGAAGACTTATCTGAATTGCAGATGGTACTCCTAAATCAGACTTGCCTGTTTTAAAACTCACGCCTTGGTTCAAATCCTTGCACTGTCAACTGTTGAGTTCACTCTCTAGCCGTGCAGGTGGTCCTGGGATTAATTCCGAGCACCAGCACTCCTGCAAAATAAAGCACTAAATTGTGTACTTTTTTTTCTATTCGTGGGGAGCAACACGTGCTGGGAACCAGGCCCAGCGTCCCATATAGAATTATACAAATGATTTGAAATGCCAGGGCCATTACCTGGCTTCGGCTAAGAACAATCTGAGAACTATGAAAGAGGTTCTGGAAAATTTAGGAAAAACATGGAAAGCTGCTAACCTATTGCTAGGCTACTCAAGCAGCACTTACTAAGTCAGAATGGAAAGCCACAGAAGCCCTTTGAATGCTCAGAACCCCTGGAATCCCCAACAAAACATTCAAAGATTCTCTAACACTGGCTTATTCCCTGCTGAGCTTTCCCAGGCCTCATGCCCCCATCCTGCTACGTTACAGGTCACCACAACTCACCCGGGCTCCGGCCAGCGTCGTACCAACAGCAACCTTTGGTTCTCCCTTGGAATGCCCGGCCCAAGGCATCCCCAGATCTCTCTACCAGGCCTCACGCTCCTGCTATCAACAGGTTACAGGTCAACCCCCCAGCTCCGGCCAGCGTCGTTCTGGCATTGCAAAACCGCAGATCCATGAATATAACAGCATTAAAAAAAAACTAAAATGAGTTGCAAGAAGTGCCCAGAATCCTAAGGTATTCTCAAGACTTACCTCATGAAATAGGCTACAATTCAGAAAAAGTCTGAAAAGGCTTGGAAAAATATGAGAGCGGGGGGTCAAAACTGAAACTGCCTACTATCCAAAACTCCCCCCCTCAACAGATGGAACGTCGGTCCAGGCTTTCAGTCCTCGTACCAGAACTCACTTGATCTCATACCCCCTTCTGCTAGGGTAACAGGGCACCACAACCTTCCCCAGTACTGACCAACCTAGTTCTGACGGATGGGAAGTGCCTTCCTCCCTCGACATGTCCCTTAGCGACAAGCCCCTGACAGGTTACAGGGTTAATAACCCGGCGCCGGCTACGTCGAACGGTCTGGTTATGCCGTCCACGCTCGGCATAACTCCACAGGCCTCAAGCTTCCCCTAGGTCACAGAGCAAAAGCTCCAGCACCGGCCTGTGTCGTCCCAGCATCGTCCTTCTAACCTACTTATCTTAACAAACAACCTTCCTCTGTTGAGAGCCCCCTTACTACCTTCCATCCTCCAATTCTAGCTCCCCCCTTTTTCCTCCTTTTTTTGAGATACCAGGTTCATTACCTGGCTTCGGCTAAGAACAAACAACTCAGAACCCCCCCAACAATCCTCTTTACCTCACTCTGGCAAGACTTACTGCAGCAGAGCCACCATCTCCGCCGCTGCTGTACCCCGTTTCCATCCTAAGAGCTAGCCCCCTCACCAGTAGGATGCCTGATATCCCACCATCGACTTCTCCCACTCACCTCTCTTTTTTTAAAAAGGACATGCTCCAGTCTATTCATGCGGAGGAGCACGTGCTGGGCACCAGGTCCAGAGTCCCAATCAAGAACATATTGAAAAATCAGGAAATCAGAAGATTGAGAAAACCATATACACGTTTCAGCGCCTACTATTTCCACGAGAAGAGGGGAAGGGAGGGAAAAAACCACCCTCTCTCTCTCCCCATGGAAACTCCAGCGCCTATTCTACTCGATTGCATGTACAAGGCTCACAAGAACCAAAACGGATCACTCCTCTCCCTCAAAAAACGACCCCCTGTCTGATACTGCCTCCGAGGGGAAGCGCCCCCTCACCTCCCAGCCCCAGTTCAGAACAGCCTCCTGAATACCACTCGTGCTCCCTCAGCTGCATACAGTACCCCCTAAAGTATGCCCCGCAGAGCCGAATATCCCCCTTCCCTCCTGCCCCACCCCCTCCCAAGTGCGACAGCCCTACAACATCTCACCATGCTGACATCAGCACCCGTTGTCCTCTCTCCCTCCCCAACCGCCATAGCTGATCCGACCCAAAAATCAGCGTGGCCCAGAAAAGGACAAACCCTCAACACCGCCCCTCCCTCTCAAAGATCACACCACCCACCCTGTGTAACCCTCGCAGGGAGGGGCTCCAACCCTACAGGAGATACTTCCATTCAGATTCAATAGCCGAAAACTGATAGGAGCGATTTCCAGCAACAGATGGAACACTTTGGGAACTATCAGTACATAGAATAGGAAACACAAAAAAAAAACGGACAAAAATCAGAGCCATGCATCAAAACTAGGTCCGATTTTCGAAAACTCGCTAATCAAGATCAGACAATCAGAAATTGAATCGAAACACACAGTGACTAGAATTTGGAAATCAAGATTACGTACCTCATGAATTTAAGCGTCAAGGCAAATCAGAAGATCAAACGAGATTGAGTTAAAAAAATTACTTCTAAGAAATCAGAGGTGCCCAACCTCTGATTTTACGAATCTCAGGCTAAGAGTATTGCCCAGGAAATAATTCAGCAACAAAACATATGACAGTTGGCACGGCTAATGATATGAAATTCGAAAATCACATCGTTAAGAATCTCATCAAGGTCGTCACAGAATCACCACTACAAAACGTGAAGAGGAAGAACACAACTTACCCTCGACATCCCTAAACGCACCCCCTCTCTCTCCAAACCTCACCTCCTCCTTCATCGGCTCTCAAGCGACTCGGCCGCCTGTGGTTGACAACTATTCAACCATCCCAAAGGACCAAACGATGAAGATAACAGGACCACAGCTAGGATTACCATCACAGCACTCCAAACCACGTCACGAGACTAAACCGCTGAGCCTGCCAGCCGCCCCTCGCAGGTAGCCCAAAGAGATAAAAGGGGTGTCATCGTCGCAGACATCGCCCGCGTATAGAAGACCTTACTCCTGCGTTCCTCCTCCCATTCCTTCTTGTAATACTCTTCCTCTAGCCCGTGAAACCCTGCCTGCCTCCCCTTACTCCCCCCCGTGGCATTCTTCCTCTCCATAGAGACCTTGATATGAGATACGCTGCTCCTGTGTTCTTCCACTCAAGCCTGCAGCAACACCCGGACACGACTAGGCTGCTCCTCCATGCCCCATGAGCCCTCTCCCGCCTCATCATCCGCCTGCTGACCTCTCACCCCGCACTCTCGTCCTCGCGTCGAAGCTACTGTCATGGCGCCCCAACTGCTCTTCGTTTCCAACCCTCACCGAGGAGCCTGCCGTCGTGTCAAAACGCCGGGCGGCGGAGCGCTCCGCCGTCGGGCCTGACTTCCGTACCAGCCTGTGCAAGTCATTGGATCGAACCCCGGCACCCAAGCACTTCAACAGACTATAACAAAAACGAAATTGTAGGCCCAGCCCACACAGGTCATGGGTTCAAATCCAGTGAGCACTTCAGCAAAACAAAACACAACTGAAATTGCGGGGCAGCCCCATACATGTCATGGGGTCAAATCCCAGCGCCAGCACTTGAGCAACAACAAGGCACGAACAAAATTGTGGGCCAGCATGGACTGATACCAATACAGCTGCTGACCAAAGAAAAAAAAAAAGAAAGAAAAATTCAAAAAAAAAAAAAAACGCTTTTTTTTTTCTTTTCAAAAACCTGCTTTCATAATGGCAGCATGCTGGTTTAACTGCCAGACACTCACGCTCAGGGCAGGTACAACCCTGCGGCGGGTTTTTGTTCCCTGAAACAACACGTTTGTGATGTCTTGGTCCTGTCAAGTCTCTGACAGGGTTCATTCCTCTAACCCGTTTCTCAGCGACAGGTTACGATTCTGTGACATTGCTTGTGATCTGTTGGCCTTACTGTGCTTCTGACAGATCCATCATGCTTCTGAGATGTTGGTCTGTCGTAAGTTTTGCAAAGTTCCCGACAGAACTCGTCCCTTTGACCTGTTTCTCAGCAACGGGTTACTACTCTGTGAGAATGCCTGTGATCTGTTGGCCCTTCTGAGTTTCTGACAAGATTCATCGTTCCTCTGATGACCTGTTCCTTTGTTGTAGGTTTTGCTTCGCATGTGTGGATACTGGGACACGGATGACGAATGTGTGCCCGGTGTGCAAGCAATGCTTCAGTTATATCACTAGATTGCTGGTAAGTAAGACGTATGAGGGGCTCGTTTCACTCGCACACTGCCTGTTATTACGCTACATGATAACACGAGCCTATATCACAAATGCATTTGACCACATATCATGGTGGATTCATTCAATGAAGATGGCAACCCTTGTCTTGTCTAAAAGAAGGCATATGTTTGTAGACAAATGTTTTTGCCTGACATTTGAGTGGTGGCAAAGACCTAACGGAGTGTATTTTCTGGCTGTGACAGGCCTTTCTTTGTTTCGTGGGTGTTTTGCTGGTTTATAATGGGGTGTGAACCTGCAGTCTGTAGAGTTTTCCGTCTGGTGTGTGTGAGTGATACTGTGATAATCCGTTTTGATTCTCATAACAGATCAGGGTACCAGTTGTTGGACAGATGTCGATGCTTAACCACAGATGTGGTTAAGGTGGATTATCGCTTAGAGTATCATCGGTTAGGGGACTCTGGAGACTGTTGAGGGTTCAGCTGCTTGACGAGTCAGTGAAACTCTGCCGAAGTAGTGTCACAGCCCCTCATTTGTTGCCATCTTCTCCTTCTCGGTCTACGGCTCACTGGGAAGTTATATGTAAACGCATATCCTGTTTTACGAAAAGGGGAGAGCTAGACACATCTAGCAGACAAGCGCACATTTTTCTCCAAGAGATGTTTCTAATCCAGAACTAATGTGGCATCATTCACTGTTTTAAACTTTAAAGTTTAAAGCATTTTGTAACTTTTTTGAAAATTTTCCCTGTTTTTGTTTTCTTTCGCGGGTGATTACTACTTTCTAGTTTGCGAAAGGGAAAACAGGTAGGTCATGTGATTGACCAGCGTTTCTATGCCTGGTGTGACATGTCTTCACTTTTTTTTTCGTTCAGGTTGGAGAGCCGTGTGATGGGCGACCATCTCGCACGGTTCGGAGAGCACTTGTTACGGCTGAATAGAACATTTTACTACGGTTTATCAGTTTAACTCTTGACTCAATTTATTATTATGGAGAATTATTGTATCAAGATTTGAATATTCGAGAATACTTCGGTTCAATTCGACTGCCTATGGGTGCGCAAGTGTTTGGTTTTCGTCCTGGTAGATGTGTTATTCGTTATGTGGCGTTGGAGTTACATTTTCTAAGAAAGGAGAAGCATATTGATGCTTTAATTGACTAAGACTGTAAGACACACATTGTGTGTGATTGTCGCGGTGGTGCTCGAGTTTCCTAAACTTTGCCCCGTTGTCCGTTTGTCCTTTGTTCTATACAAAGACTGTGATGGAGTCTGACGCGATTGGCAGTACTCGCAGAAGTTTTGGCACAAGGAACATTTCTGTCATTTCCAGTATTTTGTTAGCGATTCACACACGGTCTGAACCTGGGGCATATCTTCAGTGTACTTTTCTTTTGAAATTTCTCACATTCTTTTGTTGTCCTTTTTTGTAATTTCTTGGGCTCATGGAACTTGATGCTTCTCTATCCATTGTGGAATCCGTGACCGAATCAGTGATCAAATCTCTGCAATTGAATGAGTGATTGAATATGTGATTGAAGGGGTGTGATCGAGTCTGTGATTGAATCTCAAGTCAATTGAACAACTCAGGGGATACGCAAACTAGGACTTTTACTACTCTGCTCTGGATGTGATTGCAGTCAGATTCATCCAGGTCTTACTGTAATTGCAGCCAGATGCATGTCGCGAAGTTCTAGTTGGAGTACGCCCTCACTCAAGTGAGTGATCCGCCAGACGGGTATGCAGGTTGGGGCATTTTCCAACTCCATCCATCAGAACCAGAATTGGCCCGGAAAACCAGCTGTCGCCAATGGACCTGCACCATTGAAGGGCGAAGGGGAACCCTTTTCACAGTCTACGGTTTATCAAAGATGGGCTGCAATAAGATGCGATCATACTTTAACACCGGCTGAATTCTACTCGGAGGAATTCACCTCCAACATTCCAAACAATGAAAATGTGCTTCCACACTTCTGAATCATTTCTCTTTCAACAAGAATGAGGAGTCGCTCAAGTTTGCTGTTTATAGCCTCCTCGTTCAAGTTTGATGTTTATAGCCTATGTGACAGTATGTGTTGCCTTTTGTTTTTTTTTTCGAAGGACGATGACCGTGAGATATCACTGAATTACGCAGCACAGCTGCACAGGGATTCATAATTATTTTTTACTGTTCATCTGGTTGCAGAGTCGATTCGAACTCAGGTTTGTATTTCAACAGTTCATCGGTGTACCAACTGAGCGAGGCCTGTTGGTTTTATAGCCTATGTGGAATTGAACTTGAACACTCTTCTTCGTCTTCTTCGAATGTTCTTCTTCGTCTTCTTCCTTCTGTTTTGAATACACATGTTGAATCTTTGTTGTTGGCAAAGAACTTAGTTGCTTTTTCAAGCCTTTCTCACTCTTCCTCAATACATGTCATTGCAATACCTCTCTCAATAGTGCATGTGCCATGACCATCAGTTTGGAACTGTCGATGTGTGCCTCACTCACTTCTGATTTGTTGTGAATCTTTGGGATCAGTTGGTACGCAGGGCTGGCAATTTTGGAAGCGATGGCAGAGCCGACTCCAAGTCGAGGGAGGTGGAAGAAGTATGGATACCATTTGATCTTGCAATGGATGCAAGGTAAGGGAAGTGAACTGCACAGAGATGGTTGAGACCATCCGATTGTTCGACCCTCTGCTGTATTCCTATATTTTGTGAGACAATCCTCTCATAATCGTCATTATGTTTTTTCTGTACATCCAGGAGGAACAATCCAGAGCAGTTCAGCATACCCCTGCGTAGATGGGTGATCCTTAACCCGTGGTGAATGGATGACTGTTTGCTTAGATGGGTGATGATACATAACCCTTGTTGGATAGAGATCTACAGACTCCCAAGAAAAGATCTTGTTTTGTCCTCCAGGGGGGTCATCCACTAGACTTGGAAGAATCCAAAGAAGTTCAGCGGCGTGCTCACGAATGGATGATACACGCAAAATTTGAAATGGACCAAAAGAAAAGGACAAACAATCAATGAAAAAGTTCAAA